TTTTTTTTTAATTTTTTAATTCCATCAAACAATCATAACTTCATAATTGAAACATTATTATTTAGCAATAACAAAAAGTACTTATTTTATATCAATTTGTAGTTGTTAGTTTTATTTTTATTTCTCATTTTATGTAGTCGTTTAACTTGCGTCAACTTTGAACAGTCTAGTGTCAACAATAACACTAGAAGTGTAAAGCAGTTAAGTTTTGCACAGTTTCACTGGAAAGATTCTCCAACTGCGGTTAGTATTAATTCCCTTATCTAAAATAAACACGATAATACGTTAATAAAAGAAATAAAAAACACTAAACAGATGAAAATGTTATTATACCTGTACTGTCGGAGGCGTACTCAGCACGTAAATTATTGCGTCTGCTACTTCTTCGGAGGTAATGCCCGGGAAATTTTCTTCTGCGTTTTGTGGTGTATATCCAGCTACTCTTCGGAAGTCTGTTTTAACTACACCTGGACTAACGCTCTTAAAAAGTAATCTTTATCAATCTGTGGTAATGCATTTGGACAAACATAAAACTGGAGAAGAAATTAAGATAGACTGCAATGTAACACCTTTTTTGAAGTGAAACTTCTTTACGTACGGTAGGGTAAGTTCGTATCATGCGAGTTGCTATGTAACGAAATCATGCAACGCATTTCCCCCGCTGTCTGTCCCTATGTATGTTTAGATCTTTAAAACTACGCAACGGATTTTAATGCGGTTTTTTTTAATAGGTAGAGTAATTCAAGAGGAAGGTTTATATGTACAATACATTCATAATATAGTAGAGAAACACTGATAATTTTAGAGGTTTGTAATGTGATGTCGCAAATAAACACATTTTTTGCGCTTACATTGCAAACGCTGGCTGAACCCTACAAGATAGATCAAAATAATATACTGCACTATTGTACACCTTAAAAAGGTCTACAAAAAAGTCTGGGATGGTATATGTCTATCTCTTAGGGATAACCCACAATAACCATTTTTTATCCTTTACTTTTTACGAGAAATAATGGCTTATTTACGAAGCGATTTTTATCAGTACAGCATTAATCCTTATCCGATTAAGTACTATTAAATACATTGTGCATTTAATATAGATAAATATGACCGTTTACAGCATGTAATTTAAATGAAGATTTTCGAAGATATTACAGACTTAAAATACAGGGACATAGCGGTTGCGGCGGTACCGACCGGTTTGTATTGTCTAATGACAAAAAAGCTGTGATTGTTGTATGTAAAGACATTCTATACTATATTTACTATCAGGATTGCACCCGTGCGAAGCATAGTGTACAAATAACACTATTAAGCCAATTCCTTAACCCCTATCCCGGTATGTTTGTGTGTTTGAAGAAGTTTCACTTCAGTAGCGTGTTGTAAAATTACACGTATTTTTTTTTGTTGACTGGCATTTTCATTTTTAAATAACTCTTGATATTTATATGATCATGTAACATAACAAATGTTAAAGGACGTGATCATAAGATCTTCAGCCCGAAAATTGGTTGGACCCGCACCTCCCCTTCTTCCAGATTTAAACCAATATTCGCTTTTCTAGAAAACTAGATCAGCCTGCAACTTTAATTCTTTGCAAATAGTAATCTAAACTGCCTCTGCCTCTCTTAACTGCTGTCTGTGCTTCTAATATGTCTCTATGTTAACTAGCCGTTCATGTCTGAGAAGGTAACCAATTGTTATATCTTATAAAGACAATTTATTTACTCAAACAATAGGTTAACTATAATTAATAAATGATTTAATAATATAATAATGATATTATTAGCCTACCTTTTTATATAACTGGGGAACGTATAAAATAGCAGGAACCATCACAGGGTGAATAAACACGGCAAACCGCCTCACCATCCTGCATTATTTGCTTCTTCTTGATCTTGGATTCGACTCCTCTAATTATTATTTATTCCGCTATGTAAACTAATAGAAATACGAAACTGAGAGGATTCACTTCGAACGATGAGTCTCTTTGGTTACTCTAATAGGGAACTATTTCACAATATACAAGGAAAAAAGCAATGTAAGTATATTACTGACAGTTACAGTGGAGATAGGAATATCAACAAACTCCCTTAAAGGAAATTCAATACTATAGCTACAAGTTTGGACGTGTAATTAAAAACTGAACCAATTAATCAAAGCAAGATAGTGTTTCAATCAGTTTGAATGGAAAATGATTCATTAAGTCAATGCTGATCCGACGGGACTTGAACCTTGACGACACTTTTGTACAAACTAGAGGGCGAGTTTCGATGATTTAGGCAGCCGGACCATAGGTTCTTAAAGAGAAACCAGACTAAGACAAGTCCCTGAAAGAGGGTAGCAGCTCTTTCGGTACTCAGGGTGACAGATACCAAGAGGATCGGTATGACACTCTGATGCACAATATTACGATGTAGAAGGCAACGGGAAACCACCACCACCATGATATTCCAAGTATATCAAACTAAAATAATGGCGTCCTTTGGGGTAAAGCACTCCGGACGTAAACTGTTCCCCCCTTCGGATGTCCGGGCGGGGACTACCTCGGGAGATGTCACCAATAAGTGCAATAGGGGTAGGTACAATATTTCACGAGTCGGAGCGTGGAACTTTAAGACAATGAGGCCAGTAAAGAAATTGGAAAATTTAAAAGTAGAGATGAATAGATTAGAATTAGATATAGTAGGTTTAGTGAAGTCCGTTCGCCCGAAGCTGGAAACTTCTGGAGTCGAGACTTTAGAATAATGCATACAGTATCGGTAGAAAGTAATTCGGGGGTAAGAATTTTAATGCTTAGGAAAATAGGGCAGAGTATAGAATGTTATTTACATAAAAGCGATAGGATAGTTATGGTTAAATTAAACCCGAAACCGATAAAAACGGTATTAGTGCAGATCTACGCGCCTACATCATCTTACAGGGATGAAGACGTAGAAGTGGTGTATGCAGATATAGAAGACGTGTTAAGTTTAGTAAAAGGGCAGTAAGACCTTATAGTTTAGGAGACTTCAACGCAGATAGGTAAAGCTAAAGTGGGTGCAATAGCAGGTTCTTTTGGATTAGGCAATAGAAATGATAGGGGAGATAGGCTGATAGAATTTTACGATAAACATAACTTAACCGTCGCGAATACTTTATTCAACCATCACGTTAGGAGGCGCTATACGTGAAAGATGCCAGGTGATTTAGGGAGATATCAGTTAGATTACATACTTGTTAGGCAAAGATTTAAAAATCAAGTGAAGGACTGTAGGAGTTATCCAGGAGCAGATATAGATAACGATCATAACAAAATTATGAAAAAGAGGGAAGGTAGGAGACGTCTCGACTTAGAAAAGCTAAAATGTAACGAAACGCGTGATAGGCTAGGTAAAAGGACAGACGAAATACTAAAGGCGGCGGGAGAAACGAATAACGGGGACATAGAGACAGAATGGAACTGCATTAAAACGTGCCTAAAGTCAGCAGCTACAGATATACTAAGATATACTAAGTCTAAACAAAACGAAAGATGTGGATTGTTCTAGTTTTAGGGAAATGCGAAGATTAGCTCAGGATAGGAAAGAGCGGAGGTGCGTATCCAACCAGTCTTAGGACTGACGACTTTATGATGATGATACAGTCAATGCAATACGTATTTTCATCAGCACTTACTTGTGGAAGTGAGAAAAGCTTACCCTCATTTTTACATTTCCCCCTCCAATACTCTGTTGACCACGGTTAAAAACGATATATTATTTATGCTATGTTTCGTCAACTATACTTATATATACGAAATCCGACAGATATATACAAATATAATTATATATCATTTAAAAAATTATTATAGTTGTACATACATAGTTTAATTAAATAATAAAATTAGAAAAAAATATTAATGTCATTCTAATAGTGATTTTACAAAGCGATTGTTCAAGTATTGTTTATTGGATGCTTCATAATATTTCTTGCTAGTTTTATCATTAATAAATATGCATACCTATATTTTAACACTATCCAAAATATTAATTTTCCGACTTTTGTTTACTACGACAAAACAGCTCAATAAATATTTTTTGATTATTAATTCTATATGCATTTTATTAAAGAGCTTGCTGTGATTATTATACCTTATGCAAATAGAATGTCCACTTAAAAATCAATGGATGTAATAAAAATCAGTAATACTAATAAAACTACTCCTTTGACAAAAAAAACAACAATTTTAAACACTACCAAAAACCATAAAAATAGCTTCGGTAATTATCAAGTTCAAATATGTACCTATTTCTAATAGCATAAGTATATTAAGTATCTTTTAGAAATCAGAACTCCATGAAATGGAAATCATTGATAACAATGTTCATCAATATTTTACATCATTAATGCATATTTTATATTGATCTGTGGGACGACGATTGAAAATTCGAAACAGAAATTTAAAAAAGTTAACACAAATTAAAGTAACTCATTAATTACTTTGTTATTGATGCCAACGTTTAGAAATTTATAGTAAAAAGTTAGGTATGTCAAAACTTTTTAGCGCTAATTACATATTTTAATTATTGTTAGATAGAGTTTTGAAACTGCGTTTTTCTAAACTACATATGTGCGCTCTAACGTCTAACCCTCTTTTGACTTCCTTTGTGTGTTCTGCAAAATTTTACCTAATTCATGAAATAAGCGACAGACTTGCCGATTTAATGTAGGTAATGTGTAATTAATCGAAAATTGGAAAATTACCTGAGATGACCTAACCCAACTCAGCCCTAACTTAACTTTAGCTAACTTAAGCAGGAAAGTTTTAGTTAGGTTAGCCATTTCAAATAGAAATTATTCACTGATTTTTGTTTTTTCGATTTATTTAAAAACCTAAATAGATAAAGGTGTCAAACTTGCAGAATCAACATATCTCATTAGTATCTACCAACTCCAACATATCATGAAAAGATGATTCAGATATGCCTCTGGGGCCGATTCATTATGCTTATGGTCCCCTATGGCTTTTTAATATCAGGCTCAGGATTGTTTCTTCCTCTAAACCTTTGACAACCAGTTTTACAATTTTATAACTATTTTCTGGTATTTCTATCTTACTAGCAAACTGGCTGTTCAATACTACATACCTAGAAGCATGTTGTATGTGATGAGATCAATATATCCACTGGCGAAGGCTCTTTTAGCTATAGCTCGGCTGTGTAGCGCCGCGGCCTATTAAAAATGCCGAAGGCAAAAATGGCAAGAGCCTTGAGGTGATAAATCATTCGCATTCATACATAAATGACCGCGTCAAAAAAAGATTTCGAAAAGTTTTCTAAAAATATAATATTAGGGCTATTCTACAGTAATTCGATGACAATATAAGTAGACCTCTGGATAAGGCAGTCAATCAGTCAGTTGGTCAGTCAATCAATCAGTAATTTAATGTTTCAGGGATACCCTTCCACAAAACTTGTTAAATTGTTAAAATTCAACAAAAATAATAAATAAAAGGGCGGAACAATGGAAGCTTATGACATCCTGGAGCTTTCTAATAAGATAGGTCTCCACAAACATTCAGATTGTTGAAACAGGACAATCGGTGTA